TATATTCAAGGTCATATTTTGGCTCTCGTGGACTTGTTTTCATTTTCTTCAGCTTCAGTTTGAATTTGCATATGAGCAATTGATGATCTGTTCCATTCTGCCCCTGACCTTGTTTTGGAGCTTTTCAATTGTCTCTTTCCACAGATGTAGCCAGTTTGATTTCTATGTATTCCATCTGACAAGGTCCATGTGTATAGTCGTCTCTTATGCTGTCTAAAGAAGGTATTTGAAATGAATAAATCATTGGTTTTGCAGAATTCTGTCATGCGTTCTCCAGCATCATTTCTATCACCAAGTCTGTATTTTCTAAGAACTGATTCTTCCTCTTTGCTCCCAACCTTTGCATTTCCATCACCAGTAATGATCAATACATCTTGATTGCATATTTGATCAATTTCAGATTGAAGAAGTTGGTAGAATTCTTCTATTTCATCCTCACTGGCTTTAGTGGTTGGTACGTAAATTTGAATAATAGTGGTATTAACTGGGCTTCCCCATAAGCGCATGTATATTATCCTATCACAGCATTGTACCTCATGACTGATCTGGATATGTTCTTTTTGATGATGAATGCCGCCCCCATTCCTCTTCAATTTGTCATTCCCGGCATAGTAAACCATGTGGTTGTCAGATTCAAAATGGCCAATACCAGTCCATTTCAGCTCACTAATGCCTAAGATATCAATGTTTATGCATTCCATTGCATTTTTGACAACTTCCAATTTTCCCAGATTCATACTTTGTATATTCAGTGTTCCAGTGTTCAATGGATATTTACAGCTGTTTCTCTTCATTTTGAGTTCTGCCCCATCAGTAAATGAAGGTCCCACGGGCTTTTCTTTCATGAGCTTTACTCCATTCGCATCATCACCATCAACTCTTCTTTAAGGAGGCAGCTCTTCCAGAGTCGTAATTTGAGTGCCTTCCAACTTGAGGGGCTCATTTTCCGGCGCTATAGCTGACAGTGTTTCTCTGCTATTCATAAGGTTTTCAGTAACTAAGTATTCAGAAGTAGTTCTCACTCTTTCTTCCTAGTCTGTCTTTGTCTGGAAGCTCATCTGAAACCTGTCCACCATGCATGACCCTGCTAGTATTTAAAATACAGGTGGCATAGCTTTCAGAATCACAGCAACTGACAAGCCACCACAGTAAGACAAACTGACAGACAAGTGATGGCCGTATGGTTTTAAGTATTAGACATTTTAAATTAGGCATATGTATTAATTTGACTAAAAATTGTAAAACAACTGAAATGCAAATATGACTACAAACTCATCTTTCTAAAATAGCTCCTGTGTGTGCTTCTGGCATTTCTATAGGTCTTTTGGAGTGGTGCTTTGGGAGCTGCTGACAGGAGAGATCCCTTACAAAGATGTGGACTCATCAGCCATTATCTGGGGTGTTGGAAGCAATAGCCTACACCTTCCAGTTCCTTCTACTTGCCCTGATGGATTCAAAATTCTTATGAAACAAACGTGGTAAGTAATATATTTCCCCCTATATTTCCATTTGCCTTCTTCCTCAGAACCATATAAAATCTCTCTGAAGCAGTAGGGAACATCTCAGTGTGTGTTTGGAATTAGTCACCTAGTAGTGGAAAGACTATAGTTTAAGAAATTTGGGTTCAAATTCTAGCTTGTCCTTTTCTATCTGTGTGACTTGGAGAATGTCATCTACATATCAGTTTTCTCATCTGTAAAGTGAGGGTAACACCTACTCATGGAGTTATGTTATGGCGATTAAAATTTCTAAATATGAGGCCTCAGTAAATGATAGTTATAATTCTGTTACCAGTCCAAAAGGACTGTCATCGAACATGGGGCTGAACTCAGAACTTCTGTTTCATCACTAGAAGCATCGCCTTTTCCTGTTACTCTTCAATACATGAAAACTGTCTGAGATATAGCCATGCATGGAGAGTATATAGAGTCAAAAATGCTTTTCATAAAGTAGTATAAAATCTTCATCCTCCTGGACACAACTTCTGAAATGCACAATCGGCCTCTTGCTTTCAGGCAGAGTAAACCTCGCAACCGGCCTTCTTTTCGGCAAACACTCATGCATTTAGACATCGCTTCTGCAGATGTACTTGCCACCCCTCAAGAAACTTACTTCAAGTCTCAGGTGAGTTGAGAAACTTTTTACCAGGTAGTATTGAACAGACAGACCTGGAACTCTCAATAAGAAAGAATAACTCTTAGAAGGGAGCCATTCTGATTTTCAGAGCAATTACATAGCGATTCACTGTCAAATAGCAATTATGATATTTCACACACTTGGCATTTTGGACTTTATTAAGCACTTAACACATTATTGTCTCATTTGGAATCCTCATAGTGGTGAAATTATTGAAGAGACTAGAGGAAAAGGAATGTTAAATATTTAAATATAATAATGTTAAATACATGTGCATATGAATCAGAAATTCTGCCTTCATGAAAGTACTGCTTTCCTTGGAGTAGAAAAGCTGCCGTACAGAAGTAGTCGTTGGTGGTGATGCGCCATGGAGTCGGTTCTGACTCATCCCAGTGACCCTGTGTAGGGTTTTCAAGGCTGTCAATTTTCTGGGAACAGAAAGCCTCATCTTTCTCCCATGGAGTGGCTGGTAGATTTGAACTGCTGACCTTGTGGTTAGCAGCCCAACTTGTAACCCACAACACTACCAGAGGAGGGGAGTTAAATACCAGAGAAAGCCCATGATAGGACTAGACCCAGAGAGAACCTTTTCTCTAACTTTTTGCATGTCCCCTAGTTGCACAAAATAAATATAATTCCAAGGATTTGTCAGCCTTTACTGCATTACAAACCTTCCTAAAACATAATGGCCTAAAACAGTAAACATTTATTTAACTCACGATTCTACAAGTTGGTAATTTGGGGTAGGTGGTTCTTCTGCTGCCTTTGACTGGGCTTGGTTACGTGTCTGCAGGCATTTGCAGGTTGACTGGGAGGTTGACTTGTCCCAGATGGCCTCATTCACAAATCTGGCTGACTATTAGCTGGAGTACGTTGGTTCTCTTCCATGGCCTTCAGCAGGCTAGCTTGGGCTTGTTCACAGGGTGTTCAAAGGGTAACAAGGGCAGCAAGAGAAGCCCTGATACATAGGTGGTTTTCAAGCCTGTTTGCATCATGCCTGCTAATGTCCCATTGATCAAAACAAATCACAGGCTAACCCAGATTCTAAGGTTGGGAAATAGACTTTCCTTCTTGACAAGGAAGCTCTACAACATCACACTGTAAGAACATAGATCCAGGAGAGAGAGAATTTGTGGCTATTGAATATGCTGAAGATATCATAAATGTTGATGTCCTAATCACTATTATTATGCATGGGAGGTGGGAGATGAGTGTGCACAAAGGTGAGTAGCAAACTGAGGTAATGTCAAATGGGATTAAACTGTGGCTTTTGAAGTAAGTTTAATGATCTTGAATTATAACTATGCTTGCAGAATGTAACTGTCATATCACCTAACTTCTATTTCTCATATAGATTTTTTCTCACCTTTGTTGTTTCTAAAATGAATTTTTGTATAGTGAATTCCATCTCCCTACTCATTGATTTCTGGAGTCTTGGTGTGGCGCTGTGGGTTAATGCACCAGACTGCAAAGCCATTTGAACTGCAAGGTTGGCAGTTCAGGCTCACCAGCTGCTCCTCAGAAGCCCTATACAGGGTCACTATGGGTCAGAACTGACTTGACAGCACTTCACAACAACAATAATGGCCAAAATATTGAATGATGCAGAAAGTATCAAAAGAAGATAGGAGGAATACAGTCGCTATACCAAAAATAATTGGTCAATGTTCAGCCATTTCAGGAAGAGGTAGTAAATGATCAAGAACCAATGGTATTGAAGAAAGAAGTCCAAGTTATACTAAAGGCATTAGCCAAAAAAAAAAAAAAAAAAAAGACTCACACATCAATTGGTGCAGCACTGTAAGCAATTTACTACTTACTCTATGCCAAGAAATTTGAAAGACAGCTACCTGGCCAACTGATTGGAAGAGATCTATATTTGTGCCCATTGCAAAGAGAGATGGCCCGAGAAAATAAGGAAATTATCAAACAGTATCATTAATACCACATACAAGTAAAATTTTGCTGAAGATAATTCTAAAAAAGGTTTCAATAGCACTTAATTCCTGTGTACTCCATCTGGTAAGGTCCACATGCCAGAACTTCAAACCAAATTCAAAAGAGGATATGGAATGAGAGGTATCATTGCTGATGCCAGAAGGATCTTGACTGAAAGCAAAAATACCAGAAAGATGTTTACCTGTGTTTTATTAGTTATGAAAAGGCATTTGACTTTGTGAATCATAACAAACTATGAATAACATTTCAAAGAATAGGAATTCCAGAACACTCAGTTGTGCTCATGGGAGCCTATACATACACCAAGAAGCAGTTGTTCGAACAGAACAAGGAGATATGGCCTGGTTTAAAATTAGGAAAAGTGTGCACCAGGGTTGTATCCTTTCACCATACTTGTTCAATCTGTATATTAAGCAAATAATCCAAGACACTGGACTATATGAAGTAAAACACAGCATCAGGATTGGAGTCTGAGTCCTTATAAACCTGAGATATGCAAATGACACAACCTTCCTTCCTGAAAGTGAAGAGGACTTGAAGCACTTGCTCATAAAGATCAAAGAATACAGCCTTCAGTATGGATTACAACTTAATGTAAAGAAAACAAAAATCCTCATGACTCAACTAATAAACAACATCATGATAAACAGAAAAGATTGAAGTTGTCAAGGATTTCATTTTACTTGGATCCACAGTCAGCACTCATGGAAGCAGCAGTCAAGAAATTAAACGACATATTGCATTGAGCAAATCTGTTGCAAAAGACCTCTTTAAAGTGTTGAAGAGCAAAGATGTCACTTTGAGGACTAAGGCGCACCTGACTCAAGCCATGGTATTTTCAGTCACCTCATTTGGATATGAAAGCTGGGCAATGAATAAAGAAGGCTGTAGAAAAATTGATGTATTTGAATTTTGGTGTTGGAGAATTATATTGAAAGAACCATGGACTGCCAGAAGAACAAACAAATCTGTCTGCCAGAATGCTCCTTAGAAGGGAAGATGGTGAGAACCTCATCTGCCTTACTTTTTACATGTTGTCAGGAGGGACCAGTTCCTGGAAAAGGACATCATACTTGGTAAAGTAGGCGGCCATAGAAGAAGAGGAAGGCCCCCGATGAGAAGGATTGACATAGTGGCAGCAACTCTGGTCTCCGATTCTACAAAGACTGTAAGGATGACAGTGGACCTGGCAGTGTTTCGTACTGTTGTGCATAAAGAGTGCTATGAGGTGGAACCAATTCAACATCACCTAACAACCACACAAACATTAAGCCTCTTTTTGGGTTTTTCCTTTCTGGATGTCTTTTGTGATGAACTCCAGAGGTGGATACGATGGCAGCTAGGAATCTCCTGTCATTGTGTTTCTGCTCTGCCCTCCCTCAAGGAGGAAGAGCTGGTTGTTCAGCTCAGAATTTTGTTTTTCCTCTAACAGTCATGTACCTGAGGCTTCTCTCCTCCTGCTTACTGACAAGACTCTCTGGTCAGTATCAATCAATGCTTCATCTGTTTCTCATGAACAACACATGTATCAACATGCAGCATATATAGAACAGATGAACAAAGCAACCAATTTCAGTACTAGATTTGTTGTTGTTACGTGCCTCGAGTAGATTCTGACCCATAGCAACCCTGTATAGGGTTTCCAAGGAGCACCTGGTGAGCTTGAACCACTGACCTTGCAGTTCAAATGACTTTGCAGTCTGATGCATTAGCCCACAGTGCCACACCAGTACTAGATTAGATGCTTCCAAATCTATTGCTTCATTCCTAAACAATACACCATTTCTCTAAGTAGGCAATTATTGTTCCTAGTATTCAGTTACATTTGATGCGAGTCCTTAGAAAACATTTTTTGCTCCATCCCAGCTCCCACCTGCTATGTGGGTCATGTGCCCTGCTTCTAAACTCATCAACTACCCTTTGGTTTTTTGCACTATTCTAGTTTTCTCGTGTGTTCTTGAGAGTGCCACTGTGACCTCCCCGAAACTCCAGGGTTGGAAGTTGCCAAGACCCATCAGCTTACTATAAGGATAGATTGTCCTGTTTAAGAGGACTCTTCTTTTTAGTGAGTAGGTACTTCGGCAGCAGCTGAGCAGACATACCTTGGAAGGCAGTAGAGTGGACTCATGTGCCAATTAGGTGGCACTGTAGGATAAGCATCTGACTGCTAACTTCAAAATTGGTGATTTAAACCCACCAGCTGCTCCTTGGAAACACTACAGCATTGCTATGATTCAGAACCCCCTTGACGGCACTTAAAAACAACAAGCCTATGAGTCAGAATTGTTGTTGTTGTTGTTGTCAGGTGCCATCGAGTCGGAACCGACTCATAGCGACCCTATGCACAGCAGAACGAAACAATGTTCGATCCTGGGCCAACCTCACTACCGCTGCCACACCTGAGTCCATCAATGATGCCACCTGGCTGATCCATCTCGTTGGGGGTCTTCCTCTTTTTCTCTGACCCTCCACCCTACCCAGCATGACATCCTTCTCCAGCGATTGTTTCCTCCGGACAATATGTCCAAAGTATGAGAGACGAAGTTTAGCCATCCTGGCCTCCAAGGAACACTCTGGCTGCACTTCTTCCAAAACAGATTTATTGGTTCTTTTGGCAGTCCATGGCACCTTCAGTATTCTCCTCCAACACCACAACTCAAAGGCATCAATTCTTCTACGATCCTCCCTATTCACTGTCCAGCTTTCGCATCCATATGAGGCTATTGAAAACACAATGGCCTGGATCAGGCCAGGCGCACCCTAGTCCTCAAGCTGACATCTCTACTCTTCAACACTTTAAAAAGTTCCTGTGCAGCAGATTTGCCCAGTGCAATACGTCGTCTGATCTCTTGACTGCTACTTCCGCGAGTGTTGATAGTTGATCCAAGAAGAATGAAGTCCTTGACAACTTCAATCTTTTCTCCATTGATAAGAATGTTGTTTATTGGTCCAGTGGTGAGGATTTTTGTTTTCTTGACATTTAGATGTAATCCATATCGAAGGCTGTGCTCTTTAATCTTCATAAGTAA